GTCAGTTATATACATCTTTATCTTTAAATAACTTTGTTATAATAGCTGTTTTTTGACATTTATGATTTAATTTTTGACTTTGTTATTAAATTTTAAACATTGACTCTTATATTGTCTTCGTTCTTTTTGTTTATACGTTAAATAATTTCTATATTTAATATTCTCTTTCTTAATTCTATTAAATCTTTTTCAAATAAAATTAAAGTAAGGTTAGGAAATCAGTGACAAAAGTAAAAACACTCAACATTTGTAAAATTTATTTAAAAAAGGTATGTACTGCCAATGACTATCATATCTTCTATTAATATTAGTATTTTTCTTACTTAATGTTCTTAATTTGAATACGACAAACTTTCTAATAATTTTAGGAAACAATTGATAATTTAAAACATGTTTAGCCGTAACCTGACTAAAGACAGATATTAAATAATTTTTCCAGAATTGTGCAATGCAACCACCCATTTTTATTGTTATTATTTTGTACTGAGCAAAAACCACGAACATAACCTTGAATCAACTCAAATCAACTTGAATAAACGGTCACATACGAACGCACATATTCGTGTGAGTGAAAGAGTGAATGGCCTATATTTCTCTCTCACTTGTAGGATTTCGCTAGGAAATGCCGGACTCGCCTGATGGCCAGTCTCTGTTAGAGGGTCTCTATATGGTACTAGACCCCTGCGCCGCCGCTTCACGCCGCCGCCGCCGATAAATCATTATCCGCCGATTCTGCCGCCGCCAATTTGAAAATGTCCGCCGAACGCCGCCGCCGCCGCCGCCGAAAATTTAATTCGGCGCGTTGATTTTATCGACAAAGCGACAGCCAAACTTGATCGAGATCGATATACAGTTTTGGTGATCCTGCTGAAAAATTTATGTCAGCCGATGCTGCGCGCTCAACTTAAAGAGAGAAAAAGAGCAGAACTTATATCTATCTCTTTTTCGCCTGTTACTGTTCTATCTTAGGCCGGTATTCATAGTCAGTTCTTATATTCAAGACCGTCTTAAGTTCAGTCTTGAGGAGTTACGAACCAATCAGAGGGCCGCTTTAGCATCTTAAGACATTACTTAAGACAGTCTTGAAATAAGAACCGACTATGAATACCGGCCTTAGAGATCCTATAATAAGAGTTTGGCCAGAGAGAAACCTGAGAGAGGACATGACGACCTAAAACCTGTACCCACAAAATACTGCCGCGCACTACTGCCCACTGCAGAAGTGGATGTGAACTACATGCCAGATCCACTATTCTGAGGATAACGCATATACTTTTCAAGACTGATGGTAAGTAGATATTCGCGATTCGTATAATCATATTCGTGCTACATAAAATGTGGATCAGAATAAATATTCCTCTCTGCAACTATATGTATGCTTACTTCCATGCGCGTGATGTTTATTATTAAGCTTAAAAGTATTAACATTAAAGATGTATATTACACCCATTTTTTTTACAAATATGTTAAAATATATCGCGCGTGTTTATATTTTAAATAAGTTATATATACAAATATATGATCCCGGCAATTGATTCGCATTTAGAGATTTCAACATTACAGAGCTGCTTTGTGAAGTTGGCACCTTAAATGCGAATATTGGTAAAATCATTATTGCATTCGTTTGTCC